GGATCGATGCAGGCGGCCGCGCCGGCTGGGCTCTGCGGGCTGGCACCCGGCCCGGGCAGGACCCACCTCCGCTTTTCGGGTAATTAATTTATAAACAGGCGGCGGCGGCGGGAGCCTGCACGAACGGGGGGCAGCGGGGGGACTCGGAGGCCCGGCCCTGAGCAGACTGGAGGGATTCGGATGGGTAGCAGAGTGCATCAGCCTCATGGATGGTGTGCACCGCGTGTGACCTAGGAAGGGGTCGCCTGGGTAGCCTCAGTCCCGGGTCGGAGACCCACTTCAACTCCTGGACTCTGGTCACACTGCCCTCCAGGAGCAAGCCTGCACCCATGGGCCTTTGCACACACCCCTCCCCTCAAGGCTCCTGCAGCCTTGGTCTCCATGCCTTCTGAACTGTCAATATCAACATTCATGCACCACCAGCCTCCCCTGCCTGCTAGGTTTTTCCCCTCCCTCTCTGCCACTGCATTTTGGTTGCTAACATCCCCATATCCCTTTCAAATGCTTACCTGACCCCCCTCCAAGACAGCTGGGTGCCTCCCACCCCCAACCCCAGCATCCTCCAGGTTGCTGCACCATACTGATCTGGCCTATGGACTTGTGCTTGTCTTTCTGTCCCAGTGACCAACCAGCTGGGTCAGTGTGAGGATGTGCTCTCACACTGGTCCTGGTCTCGGTGTCCTTGGCCAGTGCTCTATGCTCGCCACAGTGGGGGGAGTGAGAGCTCAGGGGGAACCTGGCCTCTGGGTCACTGCTGTTGCGCCCCCTTCCCCAGACCTTCTGAGGGTCCGGCAGGAAGTGGCAGCAGCAGCTGTGAGGAGCCCCAGTGGCCTGGAAGTCCACCTGCCCTCATCCACAGCAGGTCAGCGTCGGAAGCAGGGCCTGGCTCAGCACCGAGAGGGCACCGCTCCAGCTGGCGCCCCGTCCTTCTCAGAGAGGTACTGGGATGCCTGCATTTCACAGAGGCCCCCATATTCACTGTGCTTGTTTCTGGGGTACAAAGCTGGGGTGGACAGACTTACCTGGTTTCTGCAGGTCAGGCCCACGGCCTGCACCTCCATACTTGGCAGCCACTTTGACTCCTGCATATTCCCCTGTCCCATTCCAGCCACACAGCCCTGTGGGTACTGAATGTAACAGCCACTGTGCTGGCCCTAGGTTCGTGGCTTATCGTGCAGAAGGGTCCTGATGCCCCCCTGAGCTGGGCTAAGGCCCAGAAAAATATTCCTGGGGTAGAATGCGTGGGGGTGACCACGCCTCTGGTTGGAGTGTTAAGGGATGATTCCCTTTTCACTGAGCAACTGTGGGACCTGCTGAATCCAGGTGCCCCTGAGACAGCTGAGGGCTTTGCTCACCCAACAGGTAGGTGAGGGTGCTTGATGCAGATTGGGGGAGTCCGTGGAGAGAGTGGTGTAGACGGGGCAGAAGGCAGAAGAGGGGAGCGGCGAGAGGTCTGGAAACCCGTAGTCGGAGGCCCCTGCCCCCAGCAGCACTGATTCAGACTCTGGCGACACAGGAGGAGCCTTTGGCGACACAAACGAGGCCTCCGGGGCTTGTTGGGGCCCGGAGACCCCAGGAAGGGGGCAGGGGCTGGTAGACGAGAAGGGGGCAGGAAGGGCTGCGGCGGCTCTCCGGGCACGGC